GTGCTCGCGTGAAAAAGCCACGTGAGGCATTTCGTGTACACGCCCATGCCTCACGTGATCGTGTCGGCGCAGCAGGCAGATTCGCTTGTTGTTGTTTGAACAACCAGTTGGGGCATCCTTTGAGGGACCCCTACATGCCATTGGAACAATGCGTCTACCACATTGTGGCCATGGAATGCTATGGATTGTCATGAGACATACTCCCCAAACGGTTGGTGAGCCAAAGCCAGAACCCCCGACCACCGCTTCTTGGCTTTCTTGGCATGGTGCTGGAGGGGTCCTCAATGTTAGCGTGCACAGGGTGTATGTTTTTGGAGGGTACCATATTGAACGGCTTCAAAGGAATGTGCCCAAAGGAAAGCTCCTCACAATTCGTCGGATGCTCAATTCGTCGGGAGCCACTTCCTGGAAGTTCCTGGACTTTCGTCAATTTTGGGCTTGGACCAGGTTAAAAAGGCACCCAAGTGTGGACAGTCCTTTTTGGGCACCCAAACAGTTTGTTAAAGTTTAAAAGGCACCCAAAAAGTTTGGAAAAGCCGTTTGTTTTTTTGTTTTTTTCGACAGGACGGGTCCAGCGAGAAGGTCTACAGCTCCACCTTCCGACCCTTGCAGCGAATTGTCCAGGAGGCACCCCACGTGCAAATCCGGGGCTCCGCGCAGGCTCGCGGCGAAACGGGGACCGAAACGCGGGGCGAAGCGCGGTTGCGCGAGTGTGGAACAAGGCTCCTCAAAAGATCTCCATTTTGCCCATTTGAAACATGGCTTTTTCCACCAAAATAAAAGAACACCACCATCTACAAGGCAATGTTCAGGTGTATAATGTTCAGGACACACACACACACACACGCACACCAAACAAACAGGACATTGACTTTGCTGCTGTTGGCACGTTTGTAGGTGTTTAGTTTGTTTAGTAGGGGCTGCAAAAACGGGGGCTGCAAAAAACAAGGTTTTCTGCTCCCATACCACGGGTTGGACGGTTTAGGTCTGTCTTTTTTCGGTGGGTACCCGTTTGTGGGGATTAAAGGGACACCAACGGGAAGACCCACCATGTTGGGGTTCGCCCAAAAAGACAACGCCATTTGCGTTGACCAACATTGTGATTGTTTTTTCATGGCTACCCAGGATTGGTACTTTAGAGCCTCCGGCTCAGTCCGCCGACATTGTCGTCTCCCTTTTCTCCTTCTTCCTCTCTTCCTTGTCTCCCTTGTGTGCTCTCCCTCCCTCTGCTCCCATCCTCCCCATCCCCCCAAGCCTCTCTCTTCCCAATCTCCCTCTCTCGTATGTATGCATGCATGTACATAAGTATGTATGTATGCATATGTATGTATGTATGTATGTATGTATGTATGTATGTATGTATGTAATGTAAGCAAGTAAGTAAGTAAGTAAGTACCTAAGTAAGTATGTATGTACGTAATGTATTTATGTATGTATGTATGTATGAATGTAATGTAATGTATGTATGTATGTAATGTATGTATGTATGTATGTATGTATGTATGTATGTATGTGTATGTATGTATGTATGTAATGTAATGTAATGTAATGTAATGTAATGTAATGTAATGTATGTAATGTAATGTAATGTAATGTATGTAATGTAATGTAATGTAATGTAATGTAATGTAATGTAATGTAATGTAATGTAATGTAATGTAATGTAATGTATGTATGTATGTATGTATGTATGTATGTATGTATGTATGTATGTATGTATGTATGTATGTATGTATGTATGTATGTATGTATGTATGTATGTATGTATGTATGTATGTATGTATGTATGTATGTATGTATGTATGTATGTATGTATGTATGTATGTATGTATGTATGTATGTATGTATGTATGTATGTATGTATGTATGTATGTATGTATGTGTATGTATGTATGTATGTATGTATGTATGTATGTATGTATGTATGTATGTATGTATGTATGTATGTATGTATGTATGTATGTAATGTAATGTATGTAATGTATGTAATGTATGTAATGTAATGTATGTATGTATGTATGTATGTATGTATGTATGTATGTATGTATGTAATGTAATGTATGTAATGTAATGTAATGTAATGTAATGTAATGTAATGTAATGTAATGTAATGTAATGTAATGTATGTATGTATGTATGTATGTATGTATGTATGTATGTATGTATGTATGTATGTATGTATGTATGTATGTATGTATGTATGTATGTATGTATGTATGTATGTATGTATGTATGTATGTATGTATGTATGTATGTATGTATGTATGTATGTATGTATGTATGTATGTATGTATGTATGTATGTATGTATGTATGTATGTATGTATGTATGTATGTATGTATGTATGTATGTATGTATGTATGTATGTATGTATGTATGTATGTATGTATGTATGTATGTATGTATGTATGTATGTATGTATGTATGTATGTATGTATGTATGTATGTATGTATGTATGTATGTATGTATGTATGTATGTATGTATGTATGTATGTATGTATGTATGTATGTATGTATGTATGTATGTATGTATGTATGTATGTATGTATGTATGTATGTATGTATGTATGTATGTATGTATGTATGTATGTATGTAATGTAATGTATGTATGTATGTATGTATGTATGTATGTAATGTATGTAATGTATGTATGTATGTATGTAATGTATGTATGTGTATGTATGTAATGTAATGTAATGTAATGTAATGTAATGTAATGTAATGTAATGTAATGTAATGTAATGTAATGTAATGTAATGTAATGTAATGTAATGTAATGTAATGTAATGTAATGTAATGTAATGTAATGTATGTATGTATGTATGTAATGTATGTATGTATGTATGTATGTATGTATGTATGTATGTATGTATGTATGTATGTATGTATGTATGTATGTATGTATGTATGTATGTATGTATGTATGTATGTATGTATGTATGTATGTATGTATGTATGTATGTATGTATGTATGTATGTATGTATGTATGTATGTATGTATGTATGTAATGTATGTATGTATGTATGTATGTATGTATGTATGTATGTATGTATGTATGTATGTATGTATGTATGTATGTATGTATGTATGTATGTATGTCGGTAGGTAGGTAGGTATGTATGTAATGCATGTATATGTATGTATGTATGTATGTATGTATGCATGCATGTATGTATGTATGTATGTTTGTGTGTAATGTATGTATGACATGTATGTATGTATGTATGTATGCATGCATGCATTCATGCATGTATGTATGTATTTCCCGCAAAAAAACACGGTTTTTCCAGCGTTTTCGCAAAGAGGACGTCCAAAAACATTGAGTTTTTCCAGATTTTCGGCAAAAGGATGCAGGAAGCCCAAGCCAGCAAAAAAGCCGGCAGGGGGAATCGAGCCTGGGACCCCTGTTTTGCGACACCGGCTCCCCGAAGACTACGTTTAGTGGAACGTCATCAAATTGCCGCGCGGTACGTGGGGGACCCCCCCCCCCCAAAAAACCTACGTAATAGACGTCGGGCGGGGGGGGGGTTAGGGGGGGGGTTATCCTCTATCCTCTAGTAAGTATCCGACACGCCGAGCAATGTCGGCGGATACCCCTCCCCCCAGGTTGAGAAAGTCCGAAAGCCCAACTATTGCGGGTGTTTTTCTGGGCACCCCTTATTGTTTGGGTTGTGATTTTGGTTTCAGGTTTTGGGTTTGAGTTTCCTCACTTCCTATTTTCTGCACTGCATACTTTTGGGTTGCAAACACAAAGTTCACGGACTTTTTGGGCCAATTTACTCGGGGAGCGAGTTTCAGGTTTTGGTTTTCGGGAGAAAGTGTTCTGCCCAGGCGGTCTTCGTGAATGACACCTCCCTGACCCCCAGCTTGGCGGCGCCGCACTACTTGGCTTTGCTCCACTTGTTCGACGCCAAGACCGGGAGATACGCCCACCATGCCTACCGCTTCGGGGCAGAGCCCCCGTTCATGCGCCCCGCAAAGCAAGGAGTAGTTTAGCGGAACGATAGATGTGGAGGAAGTGGAGACGCTGGAGAAGGTGTGTATGGCTGTGACTCTCTCTCTCTGTCTCTCTCTCTCTCCCTCCCTCTCTTCTTCCCTCCCTCCCTCCCTCCCTCCCTCTGTCTCTTTGTGTCTATGTCATTTGTTTGTGCGTGCGTTTTCTTTGGCCATTGTTTCGGGGATCGGACATGCGGGCATGTCCTTGAGGTAATTGTATCACAACATGTTTCAATTGAACCTCAAACCTGGGCCTTTGTTACGAGGGCCCAAATCAGTACAATCGGGGAAATGCGCCTACGTGTCCTTACCAAATAGACGGCACTGATAAATGATGACCAAGTGAAACAATGGAAGCCGAGCAATGTTCAACCAAACTGATCAAAAAGGGACACGGAGAGGCGGAGCAGGGTCATTTCCCAAAAGGGGGGGGCATCGCGGATGGGGAGTGTTCCTTTGGCTTCCCCTTACCAAAAAGCGGGAAGTCTAGAGGCTCACATCAACCCTTCAATCTCACCTCCGAAGGAGAAGTTCAGGGCCGGACTTCTTCACTTCCTCAGTTGTTCAGTGGCACCCATCCTTTTTCCCCTTTTTTTGGGTGGCCGCCCCACTAAAAATGGCCCAAGCCCCAAAAAGGGCTCCCGTTTTTTTCCCAGGCTCACTGAACAACTCTTCGCTTCCGTTTCTCATCCCCAATGTCTAAACATATGTTTTTTCGGCGAGGGCACCGATTTCTCTAGGGGACACTTCCCCATTCTTTCCAGGGATCCTTCTTTCCAGAACACCATCATGATTGCAGGGAAACCAGCTGGTTTTTGAAAGAACGATGGTTGAAAAGAATGGGGAATCAACCCCTAGAATTTCGGGGTTGCAAAAGAACATTTCAGGGTGGGGCGGGCGGGGGCGGGTGGGACCGAAAGGAAGCCAACCCAAAATTGGGCTGGTCCTCAAATTGGGGCGCCCCCAGAAAATTGCGGAAGGGCTTCGTTTTGCCTTGCAAGCCACTCAAGCGGTATCCTCAAAAGACGAGCCACCCCGTAAGGATGTGTCTCAAATTGGGGGATTCTGAAAGAGTGGCATCAACAATACAATCCCATAGTCAGACCAGAAATCGAGCATCGTTTCAATCCCCACTTGCCCAAAGCGAATCGAGTTTTTTGGTTCTGTTCATTTTTACTGGGGGTGAGCAAAAAACAAAGTTTTTTGCTACCATACCAAGAGTAGAGATGTCGACCTTGGTTTCCCTGATTTGGTCCATCAAGGTTCCAAAAGTGCACTCAAATCGGAAATCGGCCAGCCTTAGACCCATAAAAGTGGGACGCAGTTGATATGGACCTAGTGGCTGAACATATCCCCAAGTCAACCCCAAGGTTGGGGACAAGATCAGGTGGGTCTGACTGGATCGTCCGAGTTTGATCCCATTGATTCACCTTGTCTTCCCTGTTCTTGGCATTTTTGTTTTTATCCCATTCTGTTCATTCTTTGGTAGCGGGCTGCAAACAACCACCTGTTTTTTGATGCAAGCCCGTACCAAGGGCTGTGAAGTTCTTTTTTGTTCTAGGTCCCCCAGCTAGGTGCCCTTTCTCACCCCTTTTTTGTGGGAGGGTTCCTCTACTTAAATAGACGTCCTGAAAAAAGACACGGTACCAACTTATTCTAACCCCTCAAATCTGGAGGACCTAGGTTCAAAATAGATGGCACTGGTTTAGATGGGCTTTATTCATTCCATTCACTATAGGAATGAATATCTCCTGTTTATTAATATGGGGGTGTTCCCCTCCAAAAGCGGTCTTGGGGCCATCCGCCGATCCGCCGATTCGCCGCGGATGGATCGAGGATGCTTCAGCTCTCATCCCAGCTGCCCCTCACAGAGGCGGCGGCGACGCCGGGAGGCACCGCCTTCGCCTTCGCCTCCGGGCTGGCGGTGCAGGCGGCTGGGCGACTTCGCGACTCTCGTTGGTTGGGTTGGGATGCGGCGGACTCGGAAAACTGAGGGCCCGACGCGTGCGGGAAAGCGAGTGGGGAATGAGGACGGTTGATGTGTGCGTTGTTTTAGGGGCCCGCAAGAGCCCTGGAACGCCACTGCTCCTGCAAGCCCAAAGGCAGAGACTCCATAGTTCTTATGCCAACGGGCACAAGCAGATCACGCATATGCGTGCCAGACGAGGAGTACCCCCAAATTGAAGGCCTCGGGCAAAGTTACTCAGAAGATTACCTCACAACAAATGCGGGTGTCTTGTTTTGAGGGTACTTTGTTTGGTGGTTTTAAAGGATAACAACAGGAACACCCATGTTAAGGGTCCATATCCTATTTGAGAACCCAAGTGATCAAAAGCAACTACCAGGGTGTGAATCAGTGCAACGTTGTGCTCCATGTTTCTCAAGCATGGAAAGAGGGTAGGCCTAGCCAGACGTCACTTTGCGTTTCTTTGTGACCAGTACCCTTGTGAAAAGGTTGTTTTTTGTTGTTTAGTACTATGCATTAGTGATGTATGAGGCAGCATGAAGCTCGTCATGCACTGGCTCGAGAAAAATGAAGTGCTGTGCCTTGTATGTTCTAGGAAGTTCCTGCCTTTCAATAGTTTTCAAAGATCACCCCAAGGGAAGCAACCAAAACTGAATGGCTTTGCCCAAAGCGAATCGACCGGATCTGGCCTTTTGGTTTTCCAGTTTTGATCCATCTTTCGTCATCCCGAAAGGTGATTAATGTTGACCCCATCTTAGTCAACCCCAGTTTCTTAATAGGGGGTGGTTCCCCTCCAAAAGTACCCTTCACCCAGAGACACCCCCGTATGAATAAGCCAGGGATTGATTACTATGGGGTCAACATTACTCAGTTCTTCCAGTTACCACTACGGTAACCAGGGAAAACGGGAAAACCATCAAGTAAAACTTAGAGGTAAACATGCCTAAGGCTTACCTATACTTGGGTCCCGAAGGGGCAACTGAGTTGTCCGATCCGGTGCGACACATGTCTCTTCGTTTTCCGGCGGCTGGATTTACTTGCTCACCTCGGCTAGCCATGAGCCATGCTCCTATCTTCACCAGAATTAGCTCCCCTTTTTGCTTTTTTGCTTTTTTTGGGTTCCCTTTGTTTCCACTAACCAGGCAAAAAAAAATATTTTTTGCTGGGGTCCTAATTCCAGCCAAGCTATGAATCTGAATGGGGAACTGTGTCCAACCTGGCCGTGGACAAAAGAATCCGAAAATTGAGGTTCACCCAATTGAATTGATACCCCAAACTGGCGTGCTTTGCTACAGGGGTTCGGACACGTCAAAAGGTGAAGGAGCTACTGGGAAATGTCGGGCTAGACCAACCAGCAATGGCGGCAAACCCTGGTAATTCCTTTTTGGCTTGCGATAAATTGAGACAGGGTGTTTGCTTGTGACTCAAATGAAGGAACCCGTTTGCGCCGGGGGCTCTTTTCCTTTCAGAAATCGCCAACGTTCTTTGAATCGCGCGGAAAGTTGAGGGTTGCCGGGGCTTTTTCGCGGGCAAGCCAAGATCAGGGTAGGACAAAAATGGTTTGAACAACTAGACCCCCCGTTCTTTCAGGGGGAACCAATTTTGTTGAATCAACACTCCCCTGAAGACAGACTTTCTCAAACTACCGTTCATGAGGAATCGTTTTTAGGCTCCAATGCATGATATTCAAAGATACTGCAGCAGCTGTGCATACTTTACACGGGACCTACTGCGGATTGACGAACTCCTGCACCACTTTGAAACCATGGTTGAAATCATAACGTTTGTTGGTACTTGCGAAGAATCATGAGTCGTCGGAGAATCATGAGTCGTCGGTATGTCCCCTTTTCCCGCACTTTCAGCACCACCCAGAGGCAAACTCACAGATAGCGCACAGGCACAGGTTCGAAAGGGCTTTGCATTTTTTGCGGGCACTTTGTTGACGTGTGTGCAAAGTGAAGCACGAAGAAAAAACACTATTTGTGGGATTTTGTGGGGACCCTTGATGTTGATTCCCCTCAGCCATGGCCTCAACTGGTGCTTGCCCCAAGTCTCAGCAGAGAATGGCTGTGGGTCAAAACAGGTACGCAAAAGGAATCCTGGTAAATGGAAACATGGCTGTGGGTCAAAAACCCTGTACGCCTGGTGAACATCGAAATAGGTGGCACAGGGGTGTCCATCTGCCCCAAAATGGAGGCATAGGTTATATGGCCACATGGACGACAACCTGCGTGCCACTTCCTGGTGACAAATTTTGACACATGCCCACATCAGGTTGACCCCATATTAATCAACCCCAGTTTGTTAATAGGGGGTGGTTTTTGGCCCCCCAAAAGGGCTCTGATTCCAACATGTCCAGGGCGAAGCAACCCCCCATTTTAAAATACTTGGTGGCTCCCAGCCATCCGGTTCCTTAGCCTTTTAGCCCTTTAGTGTTTGGGAGGGATTTCCGAATCTAACCCACTCAAAGTGAGTCACGTTGAGCAGATCGGAAAACGGACAGCCCAGAAATCGGAGTCCCATCGCCCAAGGGCTCCACCGTAGTCATCACCTACGGGGCCGGGGACCGCGACGCGCGGGCGCTGGTGATGACCATGGCGCCTCGGGCCGTCTTTGCGGGGCCGCGGGGCGGCTTGAGATGGTCTTTGCCTCTGCCCGAGGGTTCCGATTCCTATGTCCACCGGCACCAAAAACAAATCGGATGCCGATTCCTTTTTTCCCATGGAAATCCACTGGGCATCAGAGTGGCGGCCTTCAAAGTTGAGGTCTCTGACTTCGAAGGCACCTGGTCTCTGTAAATTCATGAAACCTGCAAAAAGTGCGAACTAATGTAGCATAATCGCACTAGAAACAATGCGAACATAAGGAGCATAGTGGCAACTTCTGAGCATCCGATGCCCTGAGAGAGCTGTTGCCTGGGAGAGATCTTCCAAAGGAGCGGCGAAATCTGAGAAATCCAAAAAACCTCAAGGAACACCAACAAGAATTCATATACATATATATATATGCTATGCTCCCCCCCCCCCCAAGATCCACCTTTGGGCTGTTTTGAGTACATTTTGGAGGTCCAAAATCCTTTTTGGGTGAGCATATATATATATATATGATTCGTTTTGAGAGCAGGACGCTGTGAGCGTGCGGCTTTTTTTCACTTTTTGAGTGGAAGCTCGAGTTGAGCTATGTTTGCATACTGCGTGTTTAAATGTCAGCTGAATTGTAAAGAAATTTGATTGGAAATAACATGCTGTGTAAACTATCAATTAAACTAGAATTATTCAAATTCAAATTCCATTGTGAAACAGAAGTTGTGATTGGATTCATTGCTTATCAATTTATGTTTAACCTCAAACAATTGCTTGTAATGTTCTATGGGGCAAGGATTTACATCTAATTCTAAATGTAAGATGTAACTTCCAGTAGGATTCTGATCAAGTATTTCCTTATTGAGTCCTATTGAAATCCTATTCAAATTCAAACTGATTTTTAGAGAGCGGCCGTTGGTGGAGATGTGAATTGAGTACGAAAAACGGTATAAAACACTTTGTGTTATGGTGTTGTGTGATTATGGTAGTTTTTGGGCTAGGAAGCAAAAACACACAATTTCTGACCTCTGAATTCTCTCCTTCCGATATCTACTTAATATCTTTACCAAAGTCTACCCAATGTCTAACTGAAATTAACTAGAAATTAAGGAAAGACTCCAATCAAATTGTATATGATAAATTAGATTTTAAATTATGATTAATCTATCTCAACGTAAATGTTACACGGGAATTCCTTTTCCGATAGAATTGTTTTTTGTTTTTACATATTGCATGGCAAAGAGCCTGAGACCTACACATGATTGGTTTTGTAGGTTTTTTAGGGGCAGTACATCACTTTTGGCTCTCCAAAGCAAACACATACAAACAGTACAGTAATTCTGTACTGTCCCTATTTTTTTGGTGTTGGAAAAACAAAAGATAAGGCCAGTACGGCACAGGAGCACCTCAAAAGTGCTTTACTGCCCCTATGGTTTTGCTTTGGAGATGCAAAAGTGCTGTACTGTCCCTAAAAAACCTAAAACACCAATCATTTCAGAGTCTTGCATGGCCAAGAGCCTGAGACCTCCATTTGTTTTAAACATGTTTTTTAGGGACAGTACAACACTTTTGGCTCTCCAAGCCAAAACATATTGACAGTACAGCACTTTGGAGCACCCTGACCTCAAAAGTGCTGTCCCTAGTTTCTTGCTGTGGAAGCACAAAAAATAGGGACAGTACAGCACTTTGGAGCACCCTGACCTCAAAAGTGCTGTACTGTCCCTATTTTGTTGCTGTGGAAGCACAAAAAATAGGGACAGTACAGCTCTTTGGAGCACCCTGACCTCAAAAGTGCTGTACTGTCCCTATTTTTGTTTGCTTTGGAGAGCCAACAGTGCTGTACTGTCCTTAAAAAAACTAAAACCCAATTATTTGGAGGTCTCAGGCTCTTGGCCATGCAAGACTCTGAAATGATTGTTTTTTTTTTAGGGACAGTACAGCACTTTTGCATCTCCAAAGCAAAAAGATAGGGACAGCACAGCACTTTGAGCACCCTGATCTCCAAAGTGTTGTACTGCCCCTATTGTTTTGCTTTGGAAACACAAACACATAGGGACAGTACAGCACTTTGAGCTCCATGACCTTCCCAAACTGAAAACATGCAATAACAAGGAGGTTGTTTAATATCTTAGGACACTTCAATCACAAATCATCTGCAAACTTTTGCTTGACTATCCTTCTTCGGGCTCAAAATTGCTGCAAATACTATATGAAATGCCTACTCAAACCAAAACATCTGCCAGCATCACATCTTGTCCAGGATCAACCCATCTGACAAAAACAATGTCAAATCGAAACGAAATCCGTTTTGCTTTTCATCTGCTTCAAACAGTTGAACACTGCTCAAAATACTGTAAATTACAGTGTTCTGGCAGTGTTTTAGCTGTGTCCAAAGGTGGGGCGACCATATATATATATATATATATATATATTTACATATAGTTTATAAGCAGAAGTTAAATACACATAACACAGACAAAAGGTATTGGGAATTACACAAACGTGTCCCGCTGGATTTGTTTTTGTGTTGGTTTGTTTATGTTATTTTCTCGAGCTGTGTGTTCTTCAGACTTGGCATTCTTTTGGTAGCTTTCATCGCATGCAAACGCTTTCTCATGGCAGATTCTTTGAGAATCTGTACTTCTACATAAGAATACGCTCAGGTCATATCCCCAACAGCATGCGGTGCTCTTTTCAGTGCTCGCACCACCCCGCAGCCCTCGCAGAACCTCGTCGAACCCTCGTGGACCCTGGTGGAACCCTCGTGGAACCTTACCTGAGGGCCGCCCAGACCACCCCGGAGCCTATCCCCCAAAGCTTTCAGCTGTTGGGGAAAAAGAAGAAAATCGCGCAAACACATCTCTCAACAAAAATATAAAGCCCTTGGGAAATGTTTTGGACATGCCCACCGCATTTTGTTTGTTTTGCTTGTCCTTGATTTTTGTGTTATGTAGTTCTCCTTGCAGAAGTACGGTTTTCGAAGGAGCTGCCATGTGAAAGTGTTTGCATGGGAGAGACCTACCAAAAAGAAATTCCAAATCTGGGGAAAACAACAAAACAACAACACGGGGAGACCATCATCACACAAACAGACAAAAGGCGTTGGGCATGTCCAAGACATTTCCCTCAGGTTTTGTTTGTTTGTCATGTCTGGGACATTTCCCTCACTCAGGGCTTTTGTTTGTGTGTGTGAATTGTGTTTTTTGCTTTTCCTCGATTTTTTTGTGGTTTTCATTACAGAAGTACAGGTTCTCAAGGGAGCTACCATGATGAAGCTTTTGCATGGCAAGAGATCACCAAAAACAATGGCCAAATCTGAGAACAAAACAACAATCAAGAAACAAGCAAACACAACAAAACACAGCTCTGAGGGAAGTGCGGTGGACTTGCCCAATCCCTTTGCCTAGGGCCTAGGGTATTGTTTTCTTGTTCTTGTTTGTTTTGTTTATCGGGTTGTTGTGTTTGGTTTTCATTTCAGAATAAACTGGTTTTTTAGGGAGCGATGGATCAGGCAAGACCGCAAAAAGCAGTATTACAGCCCTCACAACAAGACCTTTGTTTTGCGGCATTCTGCTCAGGACAGGGGGGGGGGGCTGGAGTTTCGGTTTGGTGCCGCTGTTCTTGCCCCAGGACCGCCTGGACGACATGTTCAAGTGCTCCAGCTACGCGGAAAGCTGAGCTCATGAAAGTTGGCGTGCTTAGGATACTTTGGCTTTAGGGCAACAATTGCCCGGAGCTGGAATTGCTTTGGCAACTGCATGGAGCCACAGGCCAACAGTTCATGTTGCTTTCGCCAAATGGCGAATTGTCAACTTGCAATCGTCCGGCCTAGCGGCGAAGACAATATTTTCCACCTATAGTTTGCATCCATCAGCTTTCTCATTAGGAGTGCATGGGCACTGCCTTTGCAATGCTCTCATGGAGAACTACATTCTACATCGGCATTCCTTGCTCGCTCGCTGGGTGAAATCTGTAACACAGGGCGTTCCATGGGTTTGATTTGTTTCCATGCCCATCGAGCGAGATTCTTGTGCTTCAGCCGGCCCCCTGGCGGGAGGAAGCGCATGCATTTCATCCTGGGATCCTAAACAGGTTCCAAGAAACGGGTTCCGACCTAAGTGTGTAGCGTCCCAGAACCCATTTGTTAGAACCCATTTAGGGTCACCCAACTACAGCCGCTACAGCGCACTGCTTTGCATTGTGGTGCCGCGCGCCATAATTCAGCCCCATGTCTAGCACGTGTACCGGGTACACCGGCCCCGGTTCTCGCTTGCTGGGGGCAGTTCTTCTGCCGATTGCATCTTCCTGGGGTGTCCATATTCGGAACCACTGGTTGGTTAGTGCCTAGAGCTCAGACATGGAAACCAAACACACAGTTGTGGGGAGTCGGATTCCAGTTTCAGGGCACCATTTTTCTTTCTGCTTCTGAGGCCAAATGATGCTTCAGTACAGCAAGGCGGAGACTTCTGTCACAATGGCAGAGGTGTCTGCTTTGTGCTCTCATGCAAAACATCCGAAGCACAACCACTTGAAGAGGTAGAGCGCGGGGGGGGTCTTGTTAGGATGAGCAAAAGCAACTTCTTTTGGGGAGCTTTCGGTTGCAGGGGAGCAGCGCGACAGAAGCATGCCAGCAGTGCCAGCGCAGTACAGTGAGAAGTCTGGGCGGAGCTGCGCGCAAACTCACACCTCGTGTCAACCCAAAAAAATATCCGCGCGTCTCAGAGCAGGCAGCTGAATCCATGGGATCCATATCTACGGCTATCCTCCCAGAGCCTGCCTCAAGCCACTGGATTTTTCATGTCCAGGCCGACGGCACGGCGAGTCTGCTGCTAAGCCCCGGTGTATCTGGGGGCCTTCGAACCTAGCCCCAGTTGCCCGAACTCTGCCCCCAGAGGGTCCCTTTCTCTAGAGGGGTTGCCAGTTGCTGGGGTGGACTCCGTCCTCAAATCCCGGGCAAGTGAGGGATCCCAGCCATAATCGCTGCGGAGATCCGCCTGAGATCTTGAAGCATGGTTCTGGGTCGACCATTTTTGTGCCCGGGTTTGGACTGTGACTCAGTTGTTGCCATAGAGGGGACATGGGATGCGAGCAGACAAACTAAACAGGACCCTCCCCCAGTCCAACATGGAAGCTCCCGAACGGACCCCTTTGGAAGACTTGGTTCCATTTACAGACGCCTTCCGGGAGCTTCCATGTTAGTCTGAGGGAGTGGACCCCTTCCAGCACCGCCCAACGACTGTTCTTCCCATGTCCAAAGATCCAAGTCCTGGCCACAAAGTAGTCGTTGGACGGGTGCTGGTCTTGCATTTGCCTAAGAACATGTTTTATTTTCCCCGTTGATGTTAAAGGGAATCTATCGCTACTGGAAAAATGTTATGTTTTCCTGGGGACTTAAGCAAATGGAAGTGGTTCGGCTTCCGGCGGACGATCATCAAATCAACCGTTTGGAGGGGTATTCAACCATTTGAGGTGAGAGCACGATTTCCTTGACAGGAATCAGACAGCGCTGTTTCGCACCGTTCAGAAAACCTGTGAATCAATTCTCCTGTGAATACCAACCAACAGTGGTTTCAGCCGTGGTTTCCAAGTCGTGCGACATGGATTTTTCCCATCCACAGTATCGCTCATCCACAGTGAGGGAATGAACAGTGACCGTGGCTCTGCCCTTGCGTGCCACCATGAAACTGGGTAGGGTTCAAGGAATTGGCGAACGCAAACTTGCTGACTCCAAGTGTTCGTTGCGCAGGCAGAGTTCACCAATGTCAGCTTGCTGAAAGCAGCGCAGCGACTCTGCTGAAGTAGACGTCCAGAACCCTGGTTTTGGTCGGCCCGAGGACATGTCAAACCCAAGAAAGTACCAGGGTCACTCATCAACTTGAGAAGTTGACGCTGCCTGCTAAGTATATTACCGAACCTTCGTAGCAGAATAAATCTGATTGTTAATTTGGAGGTGTGGTTAATTGGTTTATCGCAGTGTCCCAATTAGTTAATTTGTGAGTGGTTAATCAATTATTGATTTCATTTTATTGAGTATTGGAGTCTGGTTGGTTCATTTTGAGCTGGCCCATGTCTTGGGGGAATACTTTGATTTGGTTGCAAAACACCCCTCCCGGTCAATCCGACAGATCATCAATTGGGGGTCGTTACAAGAAAGTGGGGCTGATCACCTGATCCAGAAGCCAGACTTTGGACTGCATTTGACTCAAGTGGATTCAGAGAACAACTTTGCTGGTTGCTGGCATTGGTCTGAAGTCAGCATTCTATTGCGCCGGGGAACCTATGTATTTCCCCTTGTTCTTATTCATCACCTTTTGGACCAAGTTTACGTAGCGAATCTTTTTGAAGGGCAACGTGGGGGAAAAAAACGAGCCCAGTTCTTCAGCGGCAGTTTCAGTGTCACGCTGTTCTCCCGGGAAAAAACGAGCTTTGGTGAGTTTTCTGTGCACCAGTTTGGTTCAACTCAGAGTGTCAATGGCAATGAGCGCAGCGCCACGGCATGTCGCTTAGTGTGTTGCTTGCTTCTTTGCTTGCTACTTTGTTTGTTGCTTTGTGTGTGGTAGACTGTTTGTTTGTTGTTTTGTTTGCTTGCTTGACTGCTTGCTTTGCTTGCTTGCTCGCTTGATGGCTTGCTTGCCTGTTTGTTTGTTTGTTTGTTTGTTTGTTTGTTTGTTTGATTGATTGATTGATTGTTTGTTTGCGTGTGTGCATGTGTTAGTCCAATGTTTGTTTGTTTCCTTGCCTGTTTGTTTGTTTGTCTTCTCTATTTCACCTGAGCGTTCAAGACCGCGGTCTTCCCCAGTTCCCCCGGGCGGTTGACTTCCGAGTTTGGGATAGCAAGCCCTTGTGAAGCTGCACACCTTTGGGGCGTTTTTGGCCAAAGGATGTTCTTACCAGCCAGAAGCCACGGCCATTTTTATTTTGCTTGTTTTTGGCGGGGGTTGCAAACCCAAGTAAGTGGGTTAAAAGGGAATCTTACCTCACAAAACTTTTCTCAGCTTTTCGGGTAACATGGGCTATTTCTGTCTGTAAAAGATGAGAACTTCCCCAGGTTGCTTGGAGTTTTAAGGGGCAAGTGTTAGGACTGAAGAACTTTCTGCCAGCGAATGGGTTTTCCAACTAAACCACTAAGTCACTTCCTGAGTTCATGAACTTTAAACTTTTTGGGAAGACCATTGGAGCGGTAATTACAAAGTTTGATTTTTTTTGGGCCATCCACTCAGCCAGTGAGCTAAAGGTTATTCACTTGTAGCAGAGCAGAGTTCGCAACCGAGACACAAAAACCGGCAAGCATCCATGCGGCGACTCTGCACAGTGAGAGGCGGAATTACCCGTAGAATGTTTTGCCCTGAAACTATTTGCCAGTGATTGTGTTGTAGCCAGGAGGTGATTGGACACATGCACAATACACCGCTCGCCTGGAGAGACATACAGTCATGGCTTGTTTAATTGACGTGGTCCTTGACGCAACAGGGTCAAACCAAACAGGGAGGCCGACATTTTGAAGAAGTGAATTGCTATTCTCCATGTGTATACAAAGAACCGTTCACCCTTCACATCGATAGCTGATCCTGGAGTGTCAAAGCAACTTAAAAGGCTTTTGGCATGGCGAGCTCATATGAGCCACGTCCTCAAAATCCGGGTAAGTGAAGGTTAGCACGGGACGATCCCAGGCATACATAGCTGTGGAATTCCGCCTTCTTAGTTCTTGAAGTATGGTTCTGGGTCGACCATTTTTGTACCGGGTTTTGATTGTGACTCATATGAGGTCAACAAATGATTGCGGTCTTCCCTCGAGTCGAGTCTTCGAGTCGAGTCTTTGTCCAGGCTCCAGTGGGGCTGCGCGCATTTGGTCCCTATCGTAGGCCTGGCTCCGAGTCGGAATCCGAAGCGGTGGACCATGGGAGGCTGGTCTCTTTTTGGGTTGGTGCCCCTTTTTGGTAGGTAAAGAGAAGCCAACAAATAAAATCCAACCCAGTTTGAGAGGTACCCGAAAAAGACAGAAATATGGCTGTATTGAACAGCATGAGTATAGGGCTATCTTTTCTTGCGGGTACCCATTCCGGGGTTGTTTTAAACCGGAAACCGATGGAAACCCCAACCCATTTTGGGGGCTCCCCCAGAGCCAACCCTATAATCTGAGTTTTGATTGGGAAAGGTCTCCAATGTCCAAAGTCGCCCATGAGAATCCACCCATATTGGCTCGATCAGGAATCAGCCCGGAGAATTGTATATCTTGGACCCTGCCCCCAAACACGAACAGACAATTTGGAAGACCATTTTAGTGGTGGTTGATCTAAATTTCCATCATCCACTGTTGGTGGGTGGGGGCAGGGTACAATGTATATCAAGTGTCTTTTCAAACGGTGAGGGATCCTCTCTGCAAAGATGGGCGTAGCTTTGTGTTTAGGGGACCCCCCAAAATGTCGGTTTCTCTTTTGGTGTTCCTTCACGACCAAAACTGGGGTACTCCAAAAAAAGCCCAGCCCAGATATGTGCCTGGGCTCGCATTCGGAAGAGACTCTCGCAGCATTCTGCCAGGAAGGTATGGATCTGACCAGCGAGGAAACCAGTCACCGGCTGGGGGGGGACCCCTTTAAATTGGTGATCCTTTTGTTCTTCCCGCAAAACCAAGAAAGGGTAGCCTGAAGAAAAGACGAGTTCTCCAAGTATCTTTGAGACGGCTTTGGGGGGGGCGACTATCCCTGCATAAGCCTAAGATAAGCCAAGGATTTGCTGGCCTTAAGGGTTTAAGGGAGTTGCGCCCCCCATTGAATCCATCGCCCCCTTCCACGAAGGATCTACAAGCCAGAAAGTCTCGGCCGCCAGAGTCGCATCGCGCAGGTTTAGTCTTGGCGGCCTCGCTGGAAGTGGAATCCGGAGTCGCCCGCGCATTGGTGGACTTCATTTGTGAGGCTCAGGCGGGGGGGTTTGGTAAGATTTGGAGCCTTTGGGC